TCTCCCTGCCTCATGTCCCTTTCTCCCTCTCTCTCTCTCTTCCTGTTCGCTAACTACTCCTGGATCACTCCCTGAATACACCCGCCACTACACTTCGCCACTACACTTCGCCACTACGCTTCGTCTCTTCACCCCGGTGGCTATGGCAGCCTTCCTCTTCGTCGCCTCCAGCTAGACTCTTCTTGACTTGGGCCTGCGACACTTTAAGACTGGACCCTGCTGACTCTAACGGGACTGGACCCATTCTGGACATAGGCCCGGGGAAGACTCTAGAGTCTGGACAATGACGATTTGCAGCGTGAATCCATTCAACTGTGACATATCTCTGAGACCCTATGAGGCCATGACCCAACACTCTGCCTCTTTTTTTAAGTTTTTTTGTTTGTTTGATTGTTTGTTTTTTCAAAGGGTGAAGGCCTTGAGATATAATCTTCAAACTGACCAGCCCCCGGTAATTCAGACATATTCGATTTTATTCATCCAGTTTCCAACCAGGCTTCAAACACAGGTCCGTATTTCAACAGTTCATGGGTGAACCAGCTGAACTCCGCTCATCGGTGACACTGTGCCTTTGAGGTTGCTTGCGTGACGATAATAGTTACAATTTTCAAGTTTCTCATGCGTGCTCATCCCTCGTCTTTTGTGCCCGAATCACTTGCACCCACAGGGATACACTGCACATATCAGACACTGCACATATCAGACACTGCACATATCAGACACTGCACATATCAGACACTGCACACACGCTTACACTCTCGACAACATTGTTGTACGAGGCGAAGAATCCTTTCAGCACCCAAAGAAAAAAGAACGTCGGACTCAGCCCGCAGGAAAACCGGTGCACACTGCAGAGAAAGGAAAAGGGGAAAGTCATGCTTACAATATCTCCAGGTCTCTCAACGATCCTATCTCTGGCGGGAACGCACCAGTGAAGTTATTGTTATGTAATGACCTGCACCGAACGAAAACATAGGCAATGTCGCATACTCATATGGTGCAGACCAGAACCAAGAACCGATCTCTCTCAGATAGAGCAAGATAGCACAGCGGAAGACTGGAATACCAATAATCAGACCCAATCAATGGCATGACGCAGACTGGACATCATCATCACATTGTGTGCGAGGGAAGCTGGCGCTGACATACACAGAAGAAGCGCTGGGTCCTGACATACACAGATGAAGAGGAGGGGGAAGAGACGAAGGGGGAAGAAGGACAGATGGCGTCAACTCAAAATGTCGTTGATGCTGATCCCCAAAATAGTCCCCCCTGCAATATCTCTGTCCAAAGGTCAAGTTTGAATCCGAATGTCACCAAATCCCAATGTCGTAGATCTCTCTCTCTCTCTCATAGTCTGATGAAGGAGGCCCGGAGGTGGGAGAAGAAGAAGAAGAAGAAGGGGGGGGGGGGGAGGGACTGGGGGAAGAGGAAGAAAAAGAAGGGGGGGGGGGGGATGGACTGGAGGAAGAGGAAGAAGAAGAAGATCTCTCTCTCTCTCTCTCTCTCTCTCTCTCTCTCTCTCTCTCTCTCTCTCTCTCTCTCTCTCTCTCTCTCT